GGGCCAGACCAGCTCAGCACTTTGCAGTTTGGAATAATCCCCAGACAGTTGGAAAACACTGTTCACTTTCAGTTAGGAAAATGCAGATGTCAGCTCTGGGGAAAGAGCCTGTTCCCAGTCCCCGGTGTGCGTATGCACACATCCATACGTGCGTGGGTCCTCGGGCGCACAGCTGGCAGTGAATCTTCCCCACTGCACACGCAAGTGGGCACTGGGGACCCAAACTATGAGGGGATGCAGAGCATGCACATCCCTGCACTGGGCTACCTCCAGCACAGCCCTAGAGCTCCCCCTCAATCTCTGGACCTCTAAGACCAGAAGACCTTCCAAGCTGCGCAGAACTTGGGTTGCAAGTGGTCCACTAAACACCACAGGACAAAGATGTCTCTTCCTCCTCACCCTGCCCTCTGCAACGAGGAATCCCAGGGGAGCTGCAAAAAGGGCACCGCACGCTTTCAAAGGGTGCTCTTCACAAAAGCTCATGCCCAGTTCCAAGCAGCATCAATGACAAGCAATGAACCAACTTGCCTTACTCTAGAAAGTGGTTGCTCCTGCATCACCCCAGCCACAGCAGAAAGCTGGAGGACACTGAGCAGGATTTCACTGGGACGATGGAGTGAGAGGTCATATCAGTGCTTGCTGCCTGCCTTGGCAGGGGGAGGACCTTGGTTTCCAGGCCAGCTGTCAGGGCTTGAAAAAGCAGAGCTTTCCCCCCGCCAGCACGGGTTGGAGTCCATCCGATCGGCTCCGAGTTTGCTAACGGCAGGGCAGGCTCTCAAAGACAACCTGCGAGGCAGGAGGCTCTCGGCCGCATCGCCAGTGATCATCCAGCTCCTCGTCCCCTCTCACCTCCCCTTGGCCACGTTCCACCTGCGAAATACCTTGATGAAAACCATGGAGCCCGAGGGGTCTGCAAAAGGCTTTCAGCTGCAGCAGCTGCTGTTAAACCCTCTGAAAAGCCCGGACAGTAGTGCTTCTTTCTATTGACCCCAGCGTACTCAGTCTGGTTTTACGCGGCCAGTAACTCGGCGCTGCTGCCCCCCGCTAGCGCAGCGGTGGGTGCAGGGGACGCTGGCTCGCACCCACCCAGCCCGACCGCCGCACGCTCTCCCCGGCAAACCTGCTCTCTGCATTCGACGGGGGTAAACATCAAGAGATTGCGTCTGGCACAGCCGCCTGAAAAGCAGAAGCGTTTCCTAACCTCTGCAATACAAAGGGAAGAGCAGGAAGGCAGAACACATGCGGGAAAGCACAGAGGAACCCACCGACAAGGAGTAACGGCAGGCAGAGGACAAAAAAAAAAAACCTTTTGTAGCAGCATTGGCAGGCGGCAGCCAGCCTGGTCCTCGCACAACTTCAC